GGGTTAGTTTGGGTTAGTTTGGGTTAGTTTGGGTTAGTTTGGGTTAGTTTGGGTTAGTTTGGGTTAGTTTGGGTTAGTTTGGGTTAGTTTGGGTTGGCGTTCAAATGGCGTAAGGTTAACGGCCCTGCGCAATTCCTACTCGCACCTCCTTGTGGTGGACGCCGGTAACCAGGTGAGGACTCCAAGATCGGGTAACCAAGCCCGGTGGCGGATACTTACCTGGGCTAACGCGAGAGGGAGAGGGTGGACCGGACTCTTTGGCCGTGGCGAAGGCAACCAGTCTAGGATACTTACCCGAAGACGACTCTGGCGATGGAAATGGACGCTGGCGGCAGCGAAAAAACGCAAATTACAAATGGATAATGGACTCTACAAATACGAATCAGGTTACGGTGCAGGGGGGGTCGGATCCCCCAGTACGGGCTGTGGGAGAGTACGCGGGCTCTTCGCGGCATCAAAGCTACCGTGAAACTTCTTCGCTCACCCAGGGCGAGGAGTGGAATTTTGCTACTGGGCAGAGGGCAGATGGCCTTAGAGATGGGGTCTCTAACAGCCCAATAGTTGATCCTTTTGCACGACGACCCTCGATTCCTAGATCTCCTACGAGATCGGTGGGGGGCACAAGGTCGGGCTCGAGAGACGAAGGGGAGATTAAGAGGAAGAGAGATTTAAATGAAAGCTTTGTTGATGACAGGAGAGATAAAAAAAGAAAGGACGGTTCTGAAGCGGCGCAAGCATTGGCAATGTTAAAAGCCCTATCAGAACTCGTAAATAAATTACCAAACTATATCGAACAAAATACGAAAAAAGAAATAAAAGATCTAAACTCTAAAATCACGAGACAATTAAAAATATTGAGTCGAAGCAGCATTATGACATGGCTTGAAGAGCAAAATGCTACGGCTAACAAGGAATGGGAAAGCGATCTGGGAAAACCAGTCTCTGGAGAAATGGGGCAAACTGAATTGATGCTCGATGGACCTAACACGGATAAGGTAATAACAAAGGATAAGAAACAAATGGTGGACTGCAGCACGCAGACGGTTGATGAGGGTAATTTTCATAGCTTGAGCTCGGGACTCACCTATAAACAATTGGAGGAAATTAAAAATAGAGTATGGGATTCTTCGGTTTTTACTAATACGGAGATCAAAGAGGGAAATCCTTTGAACACAAAGGATACTTGTCCGAAAATTTTACTTTTAGGACCGGATGAAACTGGATTAGATAAGGGATTACATAAAGCGTTTGTACAATACTTTCCTGATCTGCAGGACATAGTTGAAGACGTTGGTGTGTTAGAGTCGACTTGCGTGGTTAAATCGTCAGGAGTCAGAAAGAAAAGAAAAATATTAAAAGTTAGATTGACAGGTACACAGGAGGACTTATTTGAAAAGATGAGAGCCATCAAAAAGGAAACGACAGGAGATGAATTTATTGCAATGCACGAGACAAACTTCTGTAAAGTGGAAGAACTGAGGAAAATAATAGAGACCGTATTCCACGGATCTAACTCGATAGTAGTTTTATATGTTAAAAACACGAAAACCCTGGGGGAACCCAACAAAAGAGAGAAGAAAAGTTTTGCCTTCATAGTACAGAAAGAAAACCAGGATTATAAAGAAATCCTAAAGGAAGTCAAAGATACTCTAATAAAAAAAAATGCAGAAAACGATATTGAAAGCTTCAGAAGCACAAAAGACGGTGCCTTATTAATAACGACCAAGAAAGATCCTACAATCGCAGAGAAAATATGCGGAGCATTGAACGGGCTGAATAAGCTAGGAAATAGTACAAAGTTTAAGCAACTAGGAATAGAAACTAACAAGGAATCTTTCTTCATTAGAGGAATAGATGCAGACACGGACAAGAATCAGATCATGAGAGACCTGGAAAAAGTATTCGTCGGACTAACACAAGAAAACACTTCTCTTGGTGAACTCAGACCATTGTCGAACGATACACAGACGATCACATTAACGTGCTCAGACGAAAAAATAATTAAAGAGTTATCCGCAAGGACAAGGATAAAAATCGGCTGGGTGTACTGTCGCTTGGAACCGAGACTGAAAGTTAGAAAATGTTTTAGGTGTTGGGGTTATGACCATGAACCCGGAAAATGTAACGGACCGAGTAGGCAAGATTTGTG